TAATAATAATAATAATAATAATAATAATAATAATAATAATAATAATAATAATAGGAGAAAGGACTCCTACTAATATACAGTTTGCTAGAAGTAGTTCTCAAATTGTGGAAGAACTGACACAAAAGATCAACATGAATAATTCCAGAATTTGGAATGAGTAATTTTATCTTCCTAGACAGAAAATAATTAGTTAGCATAGCTTTGTCAAGTAGTCACTGCAGTTGTCACAGAGTAACCAACATTAAGTAAACAAAGACAAGAATGGGGGCAAATGGGAGAAATTAAACCATGTATTGCTTTTCTTTTGCTTGCACTGTGGAGACGTTCTCTGTAGGAATAAAATTAGATTCAGGCAATAGGGTGCTGAGAAATGCAAAAGCATTCTGGAGTATGAATGGCACATCACATGAATAATTACTTGTCCATATTAACACAGGAAGACGAATTGATCCAGTCAGAGAATTCTGCATCCATCTTCAACACACTCTCAGACATCCCCTCTCAGATTGAAGATCCAGATGTGCTCCTTCAGGAAGCTATGCGTGTTGCTGGCTCACTGACAGATGTGGCAGTTGAGACTCAGCGTTGCAAGCACCTTGCTTACCTCATTGCCGACCAAGGGCAGTTGCTCAGTCCTGGTGCTGCTGTGAACTTATCAAAGGTATGCTTTACAAACCTTTTACACAATATAAGTTCAGATTATTTCCTTCTTTATGCTTGGTTTCTGCCCTTTTGTTGCCTTCATCTATCGATCAAAGGTAGTACAGGAAAATAGTGACTTACAATACTAGATTTCTTGCTAAAAATACTACACATTTCCAGTTTTTCTGCCATTTACTGGTCTACTTTGCATAGCTCTTCTGCCATCTGCACTTTCCTCTTCCCCCTTGTTTAATGCAAGTTACTTTCAAGATCTGGTTGCCATACTGAATATAATGTAGCTAGTCAGTATAGCTTTGAGGTATGTGTAATATTCTCTTCTTTTGTGCCTTGCTCTTCTGCCTTCTCAGATTGTGCGACGTAGGACACAACGCAGGAAGTCTGGCATCAGCTCACTGCTTTTTGGTAAGAATGCATGCACATGGAAATTAGAGGGCAAAGCAGTTGAAAGAGCAGAGATGATATGTTTAGGATGAAGCATTGTGCATATCTACTATATGGAGTACTCTTGCTCTTAGGATGTGCAAGCACACTGGTCTATCAGTTGCTCAGTGGTGTTGTACAACAACCAAGCTCTACTCTGATGTAAGCTGCCACTAATAATGTGATGAAGCCCCAGAAAGGGGATTTGGGTTTTACCCTGTTAAAAGAAAAAGAAAATAATGAGATAAAAATAGCAATGAAGAGTTCGATAACAGCCTTCTTTCCTTTCTGACCCACTTCATATAGTGAGAACAGTACTTTGAGTACAGTTTGCAAATTAAAGACTCAGCAAACTAGTCTGCAAATATGAACCTAATTTTGAATCTGTGTCACTGTGTCAGTGAAGCGCCTTTATAGGGAAGCTACAACAAGTAAACCTAGTTTAACTTTGTAATATGAGCATCTCATTTATTTTATTCTATTTTAAGGAGGGGTTTATGTTATTTATGAGGTATTCAAAAATGTGAGAATCTGATCTGGGTTTCAGCCCCTCTCTGTTCTAGCCAGTGGCAGGTTATATAAGTCATATGTAGGGCACAGAGAGAATATGGCGGCATATTGTGTCCCTGTCTCAAGCCATTTTCATTCTGTGGGATTAGCAGACAGATGTAGAAAAAAGATTGGATAAAGGGTGGTTGTAACAAACACCAGCTCACTGTAGAGATGCAGATAAATTCAGTGGAAGAAGTGAAAATTAAAAAGCAAATTTCTAATACCATTGCATATTTCTGCTGTACCCACTTGTAGTATTAAAGGATTCATTGGACTTCCAAGCAGAAGTCCAAATGTTATTAAGGTTTTTTGACCCTATGAAAGCTTATCTCAGCACCTGCTGGCAAAATTATCTCAGTCAGTCATAGTCAGTTTAACTCTGATACTACTTTGAAAGGAATCCCAGTGTTCCTGTCAGCATTCTGACAGTAGGGAGAGGGATAGCAGGAAATAAAGTAATTTAATAATTAAATCAAGTAATTTAAAGGCTGAAAGACTCATTCTTGTGAACTAATAGATCAGGGATAGATTGGGTAAGGGTATGTGCAGGCTTAATCAGAAGAAAGCATTCATGAACACATAGGAACATATCTACTCATTTGTACTTATCTACTTAGTGTTTTTTGTTTGTGTGTGTGTGTATGGTTTCTGTAGAACTCAATAATACATTTCCTGTTTAAAAACCTAGGGAAATCCAATCATGGAAAACTTATCTCATTGTGACTTGAGCTCCACAAAGCTAAGAAATGGAAGCTAAAGCCTGATACCTTAATAGACAAGCCTTATGATCAAGGATGTGCAATGTCGCCAAGTATGCTTGTTGACACCCAAAAAGTAGACATGCATTATTTCACAGGAGAATTTCTTTCTCAGTACACTGAGGCTCAGATGCTTCTTAAAGCAAGGACTGTATGGGACATCTTTGCTGGTCCCAGGTACTCCATCCTTCCTATCTGGATTTGGTCCTGAAACATCCAAGAAAATTGTGAGTGCACGGAAGGTAAGTTGAAAGCAAGCACAACTTGTGACATTGTACATCTTCTTCGCTGATCATGGAGCAAGTCAGGTAAACCATCACCTTGACTTTTTTAGAGCCCAGGCCTACATGAGATATCCTATGGGTTTAGGGACAGAGTTAAGGCTTTTAAAAAATCATTGAATAGTCCATTGCTTCCTCTTAAAAGGAATATGCAGAAAAGGGCAACTAAAGGTACAATACTATGCATATTTAGACAGAAAACTGTCTTACATTTTGCAGCATATGCTTGTCACCTGTGTCATGCTGTGGTATGATTTTTTTTGTCTAAATATGCAAAGGATTGCACTGTAAAATAGTGAAGATGGTTGGATGGACCCTTTGAGAAAAGGTTGAAAATTAAGAGTGAGTTAGACATAACTGAGCCATGAAAAATAACAGCTTGTTAATATATTTTTCTTCCTCTCCTATAATACTTGAAGAGTTCCCTCAATGAAGTTGACCTACAGTAGGCTCAAACCAGTCAAAAGTGTTTTGTCTTGTTATCACATAATTAACATATGACCTTATTTCCTTCATGCATAGAAAACGCCAGTCTAGTTCTTAATAGCAGATGCTGAGAGCAAAGTGGGAAAGACTATTGCTCTGCTTGGTGGCAATGCTTTACTCATTCTTTCCTCATCCTTTTCTAGGAGATGATGACATGGAGGCACTGAAGGCCAAGAATATTAAGCAAACAGAGCTGGTTGCAGACTTGCGTGAGGCCATCCTGCAAGTGGCACAGCACTTTCAGTGTGTGGATCCAAAGAGCTGCAGCATAGTGAGTATGGAATTCCTCAAGGGGATTAATTTATGGTTTCTACTCCTGATGTGGCAAAGTGTGCACTCACATTATTGAAGTAGAGGTTTATGTGGTTTTACAGTGGAAGCCCACTTTATGAGGGGAAAAAAGCTACAAAACTGGAGGAGTCCCTTCATCCTTCATTAATGACTACATTATGCTTTGTCGAAGCATTACTTACTCCTGTGCTTCCACCCTTCTCACCCACACCAGGACTTGACTCCAGATTACACCATGGAAAGCCACCAGCGGGACCATGAAAGCTACGTAGCTTGTTCCCGAAACCAGCGGCGACGTGCCAAGGCACTGCTGGATTTTGAGCGTCATGATGATGATGAACTGGGTTTTCGCAAGAATGATATTATCACGGTATGATGGTTCCATACGGGGAAATGCAGAGAGGAACTTGAGATTATTTGAATAAGAAACAGCAAATATAGTGAATCTTCTTTCCAATATTATGGCCTCAAAATAAATGAGATTAAAATTGTGATATGTAAGAACTAGCCAAAGAAATAATTAAAGGGTAATGGGAAATAAGAAGGACAAGGCCTAGTTATAATTATATAAGCAATTTAGAGAAAATGGGTGCTGATATGTGGCCCTGAAAAGTCTTCAGAGAGGAAAGAGAAGGATGACTGAAATTCAATCTGTAGATTGAAGCACAGAAGAAGCATGGGTGGTAGGGAGAGCTGAATTGATTAACTAGTCAGCTGTACCTCAAACCCTTTAATTCTTGTCTTTTATGGATCAATAGAACCTGTCATTCTCCACACACCAGGACATAGGCATAGGTGATATCATAGGCTAAACATGTGTCAGTGAAGCAAAGAGGAAAATGGAGATCAGCCATGACTCTTACTTACTCTTATACACTTCTGTTCATCCTTCTTTCTCCGTATGATTCTGTTAATGCCCATGTTTTAATTCCTGTAGATCATCTCCCAGAAGGATGAGCACTGTTGGGTTGGTGAGCTGAATGGCCTCAGAGGTGAGTGCAAATGGAATGTGTGAGAGTGGACTGATGGGTGAGAACTCTGGTAAGTGGCAGTGCAGTGATGTACTTCCCCCAAATAGTATTTTAATGAGAACATTAACCAAGGGAACTACTCTTATTGCCCATACCAGAAATGTTGTTCTTTTTATTTATAGGCTGCTAGCAAACTAAGTCCATGTTTTTTGTTGTTTCCCTGATCATTATAGGTTGGTTTCCTGCAAAATTTGTGGAGGTCCTGGATGAACGGAGCAAGGAGGTAAAAATTTCATTTGCCATGGTTATGCCTAATAACATCATCCTCTACTGTTTTTGGGTCTATATTGTAGTTTTTCATAGATCAAGTGACATATCACTGAAGCTAATACTGAAAATCAAATTCTGAATATATGTATTTGGATATGAGAAAGAATTTTGTGCAGGAAAGGTCCAGACCTATATAAGGAACCCAAAAGAAATAAGCAATACCATTATTCCCATACTCCAGGAGGAAGGACAGAGCACATAGAAAGGAAATAACAAATTCAAGATGACTCAGTGAATTTGTAGCAAAGCCAGGAATTAATTAAATTGATGAGAAGAGTCAATTTAAAACAGAAGATTTGTCAACTATCTTTGAGGGTCTGGAGGGGTGTAAAATTGAGTGAAGGGTAAGCCTCAAAAAACAACAGCTTCAGTCCTCGTATTTGCAAGTCAGATGATCCAAGTTTGCCTGGCCAGGATGCTAATAAATAATGTAATAATCTGCTTATGATGAATGCTTTTCTGTTGGCTGTGCCCTGTTTCTGAAGTACTAATTGAGGTTACAATCCCTCTCAGTATTCCATTGCTGGAGATGACTCTGTCACTGAAGGTATCACAGACTTGGTTCGAGGGACACTCTGTCCAGCCCTCAAGGCCATATTTGAACATGGACTGAAACGGCCAACACTTCTGGGTGGAGCTTGTCATCCCTGGCTCTTCATTGAAGAGGTAAAAGTGGCACTTGGTGTCTGTGCAGTCTCTGGAAAAAGTAGGGCTGGCAAGAGAAATCTGCTTGGCATCATGAATCTCTCTAGAACTCTGTGCAGCTGGAATGCAAAGAGGCATTTGGGAAGGGGATCTTTCTGGTGACATGATTTTAAGTAGCTGTGGCTGAGGGAGGCATGCATGGGCTATCTGTCACCAGTAAAATAGGCCAAAGTATCAACAGCATTTAGATCAGAGTTTGTACATGTGTGCACTTTTCCCTAGGCTGCTGGACGTGAAGTGGAGCGAGACTTTGACTCTGTCTACTCTCGCCTTGTGCTTTGCAAGACATACAGGTAAAATTTTTCTTGTCTTACTGAGTTAATTGTTCCACCCTTCCTGACAATAGCTTTTTCCACACATTTGGAGGAGCCACAGTACTGACATGAGGATTGGTGCTTGCTTCAGAAATGCTTTATCAAAGGAGTAGGTTTCTGCTTAGGATTAGCCCCCAAACAATTATAAGCTTGTACCTGAATCTGCTGGGGCTGGAATAGATTCCAGAGAGTCCCTTGGACTGCAAAGAAATCAGATCAGACAATCTTAAAGGAAATCAACTCTGACTGTTCTTTAGAAAGTCAGATACTGAAGGTGAAACTCAAATACTTAGGCCACCTAATGAGAAGGAAGGACTCACTGGAGATTCCCTAACTATTGAAGGCAAAAGGAGAAGGGGACAGCAGAGGTTGAGCTGGCTAGATGGGGTCACTGGGGCAGTTGGTGTGGGCTTGGTGGATTCTGAGGGATGGTGAAGGACAGGAGAGCCTGGAGGAATGTTGTACATGGGGTCGTGAAGGATCAGACATGAATTTGCAACTAAACAAAAACACCTGAATCTGCTCCTAGCAAAATTATACTCTGCACTGGAGCATACAAGGCATACTGAGCATCTGTGTTGTAAGGAACTGTTTTCCACTGTGTGTATGAAGCTGGGCAAAGCAAGCCCCTGACCTGGTTGGTTGGATGTATTTCAAGGATGCTGAAGCATTTCAGCCTAATGGCTGAATTCTATTTTCAGACACTGTCGGAGAATTCATTCCAGTGATGGGTGGGGCAAAAATATCTTTAGCTTACTGTTCTTATTGCCAGTGACTAAGCCTCAAGAGAGGCATTTCAATCTTTCTGAATGGAAAAAAATAAAAAAAAATTGGGAACCACCAATCAGTGGTTGGCCAGAAGGTGGCATAGCTTTCTGGGGAACCCCAGAGGGCAGATTTGACCCGTCAATTCAAGGTTCTTTACCCCCGGATCCATTATTTTGCCGTTCTAGGCTGGATGAAGATGGGAAAGTGCTAACTCCAGAAGAGCTGCTTTATCGAGTGAGTACATTATTCTGGTCCTGGTGCACAAGAGAACTTTATTAAGAGATAAAGCCTGGTCCTGCCCAGCAAGTGGCGATATAGTCTTTTCAACCCTGTCACTTCCAGCGGCCAGTTCTGTGCATGGGCAATAAAACTGTCATACAATTTTGAGTTCTGGCTCATAGCGAAGAGGTGTTCTCTATATAACTTGCTTTTTTCCTGGCAGGCGGTGCAGTCTGTGAACATGTCGCATGATGCAGCACATGCTCAGATGGATGTGAAACTTCGTTCTCTCATCTGCATTGGACTGAAGTGAGTCACTCCTCTTCCTTCAAGTTTTCCTTCAAGCCTGCTTTTGTTAGCAAACGGCAAAGGAGGTAGTCATGGTTTGGATCACCCTTCATTAGAGAGGGTTGCCTGGAGTAGCCCGAAGTATTGTACCCTGCGTCTCACCAAGGACTGTAAGGTGTCATAGCCAATTTTAATGTTACCTTAGCTTACTCTATATATTAGAACCAAGTATTTTCTGTGTGCTTGTAACTTTTCCCATATCTTACTTTTCAGTGAACAGGTGCTGCACCTGTGGCTTGAGGTACTGTGCTCTAGCCTACAGACCGTGGAGAAATGGTTCCATCCCTGGTCTTTCTTGCGCAGTCCTGGTTGGGTGCAGATCAAGTGTGAACTTAGGTGGGTAGATATTCCTCCTGTTTTCCATTTCACTACAGCATCAAATCCAACCTTCAAGAAATCACTGCCTTGCATGAGTAATGAAATAATACCTACCTGTGTCATACTGGTAGAGAAGGTGTGTAAATTGTGTACATAGCTCATTCTTCGTTCCCACTGGAAGAATTAGTGCTTATGTGCAGGGATAATGCAGGGTCCTGTTGCAAGGTGTTCATTAGTCTCATTTCCCAAACAGTAAAGACTTTCCACTGGGCTACCACACACCAAACCTTCATTGTTGCTCAGCTGGCCTAGTTCATGGAGGCAAAGGAGGAGGAGCTTCTCTTACATGGTTTTTGCATGGGATGACTTTATCTCCACAGATGTGTCTCTGAGAAACACTGAGGGGTGGGTAGACTTTAGCTGCAGAGGTGGCAGAGCTGAATAGATAACAAGCTACAATGGAGTTGGTTTGTATGCAGCAAACTGAAAGCTTTTATGCAGGTGTTCAAGAGAAAATTCATCACACACCAAAACAAGGCATGCTGATAATCCTAGGTGACTGGAATGCAAAAATTAGAAATGAAACAATCAAACATTGTGGGAAAATTTGGCCTAGGTATAAGAAATTAAGCAGGAAAATTATTCATAGAACTTTGTGAAACCAACTATCTGTTTATCACGGACACATCCTTTAAGCAACCACTTAGACAACTGTATGTCATCTACATACACTTATATATATAAGTGTATGTATAAGATCTATTTGTCTGTCTGTCTGTCTGTCTGTCTATCTGTATGTATCACCAGATGGCCAATATAGAAATCAAGTAGAAATCAAATGCAATTGGATGGAGAAGATGGAGAAACTGTTTTCTTCCTTCCAGAACAAAACCAGGAACAGGCTATGGTATTGACCTTGAACTCTTAATATCAAAAATCAGGATCAAGCTAAAAAAGATAACATAATGCCAAAATACAACTCAAATAATTTTTTGGCACAAAATATTTTAGAGTCCGTATAAAGAAGAGTTTTGCATCACTTAATTTACTTAACTGTGAGTCTGAAGAAGTGTGAACTGAAACTAGAAATCTTATTAGGGAAGAAAGCCAAAAGACCATTCCTGTAGCAACAAGAAAGAAAAAGCCTAGATGGATGACAGAAGAAATACTCCCAATTACTAAGGGCAAGAAGCACATGCAAAAAGTGACAGAAATAGAGTTGGAATTCTGAATGCAACTTGTCAGTGACTTATGTAGAAACAAAAAGAACTATTACAAAGACCAGTGAAAAGAAATAGAAGAGAACAACAAAAGAGAACAAACAAGAGACCTCTTCCAGAAGAGCCAAGAAATCAAAGGGAAATTCAAATCTAGATTAGGCATGCTAAAAGATAAAGGCATTGACTGTCTGATGAGGAGAAAATAAAGACAAGGTGGAAAGGATATACAGAAGAGCTGTACAGAAGGAATGGAAGGATAAGACTCTTCAAAGAGGAATCCTATGAGGAACCTGAAATATTCTAACATAAAGTGAAATCTGCTCGGAAAGTACTTGGAAGGAATAAAGTACCTGAACTAAATAGGCTACCAATAGATCTATTTCAAGCTACAGAGACTGAATCAGTACAAATCTTAACAAGAATATGCCAAAAATATGGGAAATGAAACAATGGCCCGCCAATTGGAAATGATCAATATATTTTCCAATCACCAAGTTGATGCAGAAGTTCATTTAATTAATTTTTATACCATCCAATAAACTGAGGCTCTCTGGGTGGTTTCATCAATCATAGGACCATTGCACTAGTTTACCGTGTAAGGAAAGTGATGCAGCAAAGAGTATTACCCTGTATGGAGAGAGAAATGCCTGATGTTCAAACTGATGTTCAAAAGTTGAAGCAGTTGAGATCTTACTGCAAATATTCTTTGGCTACTGGAGTACACGAAAGAATTTCAGAACTTTATAGACCACAGCAGAGCCTTTCACTGTATGTCTCCTAAGCAGCTATGGATGGTCCTGAAAGAAATGGGGTGCCTCAGCAATTGATTGTCCTGATGCATAACCTGTATCATGGCCAAGAAGCTATTATTGTCAGAACAGAGTATGAAGAAACAGAAAGATTTTCCATTTTCCAAGGCATCAGGCAAGGATACATTTTATCCCCCTATCTGTTCAATCTTTATGCAGAACATATATAAGCTGAATTAGAATCAGAGAAAGGAGTAAAAATTGGTGGGAGATACATCAATAATTTAAAATATGCAGATCATGCCATATTATTGGCAGAGAGTAGCAGTGAATGTAACAACTCCTGAGGAAAGTGAAAGAAGCAAGTGTAAGAGCAGGTTCTGCTGCTGCTGAATATTCTGCTGCTGAATATTAAGAGAACAAAAATAATGTATACAGAATTAGAGAAGAGTACTGTTAACAATGAAATTGAAATTATTAAAGATTTTACATACTTTGGACCAGTCTTAAATTCAAAGGGAGACCACAGCCAAGAAATACAAAGAAGACTGAGATAAAGAAGGGTAGCAATGAAGAACTAGAAAAGATCATCCAGTGTTGAGAAGTTTTCACTGGGAACCGAGGCCAAATTCATTCACATTACTGTATTCCTGATCGCTCTGTATGGCTGTGAAAGCTGGACAGTGAAGAAAACTGACAGGAAGAAAATGGATGCATCTGAAACATGGTGCTAGAGGAAAGTTTTGCAAATACCTTGGACCAACAGGAAAACAAACAAGTAAATCAGACCAGAGCTTTCCTTAGAAGCAAAATGACAAAACTGAGGCTGTGGTATTTTGGGCACATCATGAGAAGACAAAACTCCCTGGAGAAGACAATCATGCTAGGGGAAGTAGAAGGCAGAAGAAAAGGAAGAACAGAGATGGATTGACTCCATTAGGGAAGTTACAGACTTGAATTTGGAAGAACTGAGGAGGGCTGTCATGGATAGGACATTTTAGAGGGCTATCATTTATGTTGCCTTAAGTTACAGATGGCTTCATGGCATATCTCGGTACAAATGTTTTAAGCATTCACATTACATAAGGGACGAATTCTAGCAACACCACCTTTTTTATTCCCATTTTAAAAGCAGTTTTTGTCTTATCTCTATTCCATACATTAATATCTTATTTACTAGCATGTCTGTGTCCTATTCAACTTTAGCTGGATGCTTGTCTCTAATCTCCTAACTCATTAAGAATGGTTACTCTTCTGTTGTATCACTGTGGCCTTGTACAATTTAATGAAATGTGGAAAGAGGTAGTAATTTGATAGTTATTTTAATATTTAAATACTGCCCCATTCCCATAGGCTCTGGGCAGTTTACAAGAAATTAAAACCAACAGTGGTTAAAATTGACTAAGACAACATATTAAATGAAACTGACATGAGACTTAATCTGAAAAGGCCCGTTGGAAGAGATAGGTCTTTAATTCCTTCTTAAGGTGGCAGTTTGGGGAATCAGGTACATCTCTCCTGGCAGACCATTCCACAGCTTAGGAGTAACCACTAAAAAAGTCCTCTGGGTAGTTGAGATTAACCTTACAGAAGCAGCCTGAAGAAGATTCTTTCCAGGGGACCTTAGCTGGCAAGGCACCATGTATGTGCAAAGGCACTCCTGAAGGTATTTTGGACCCAAGCCATGAAGAAAATTATGAACACCTTGTATTGTGTCCAGAAATGTATTGGCAATCAGTGCAAAGACTTTAAATATACATGCTATGTGGTGTCTCTATGTCCCAGAACAGCCTGGCTGCCACATTTTGTACTAGTGCAGTTTCCAGAATAGGCACAAGGGTAGCGCTGTGTAGAGCACATTGCAGAAATCAGTCCTAGAAGTTACCAGTACAGGCACCAGCTACTGCAAATAGAAGCCCTGTGAGTTAAAGCCAGAGGCACAAAATAGCATGAAGCTACCTTATAATGAGTCAGACCATGTGTCCATCTAACCCAGTAGTGTCTGTCTGACTGGCAGCAATGGCTCTCTAAGGTTTCAGGCAAGAGTCTTTCTGGTCCTTCCTAGAGATTCCATAGATTGGATGTGGGACCTTCAGCATGAGGGTGCTCTAGTACTAACCCACAGTCCTCTGGTAGGCAAAGGAGAACAGTGCAGTACAACATGACTACTGTAGTGAGGTTCAAGCTTGTTTTCCCCATAGCTCCCATTTCTAAAACACAGGCCTCCTCTCGCCCCCAACCTCAACACAGCCTTTGCATATATCCAAATTCCTTGAATATTTGTGGCAACAGAATGAGATAAGCAAGAATAGCAAAATATTGTATATTTGTGACGTACATTTTAGTTTACTAACAGGATAAACTAAATATAAATGCTTCCAAATTATTGAATTTGATTTATTTCAGCTGCAGTGAATGTATATGACCTATAATTGAAATAGGAGTTTATTGGGTTTTATTTTGCATTGTTCAACTGTATTTTTCAGTTTCAAATTCTGCCTCACAGAGATTTACAGGTGCCTTATAAATATTTTTAAATGAATGCTGATGTCTTTTATAGAGTCCTCAGCAAATTTGCCTTCAGCCTTTCTCAAGATTGGGAGCTCCCTGTAAAAAGAGAGGTAAGCAAGTAATCCCTGCAGCAAACTTTTATTCCTTCCCCATTCCCTCAATAACGAGTTAACAGCATGTACCCTTTCCATCAATCCTGATTTAGGGGTTGGACTGATTCCAACCATCTAGGAGTCTGAAGCACAGATGTGGTTGACCCTCCATCCTAATTCTAACCCTTCCCCCAACCCAGGGTTGGTGTAGTTCTGCACCCAGTACAAGGGAACAGATAACATCAGCAACATTTACTGGAAGTGTTCAGTGACTGTAGCCTTTTGTTTATTTGTAGGAGAAGGAGAAGAAGCCACTGAAAGAAGGAGTTCAAGACATGCTTGTGAAGCACCACCTCTTTAGTTGGGACATAGATGGTTGACTCATCACTTAGCCATTGTTTTGACTTTTTAGATGGCATCCAACAATTGGCATATATGCCTCTTTTTCCCCTCCCTCCCAGCCAACCTGTTGCCCCTTCATGCATTGTACACCTTGGCAAATCATCCCCTCTCCAGTCATCTTTTGCTAGTTGAAGGTTTATTATAATCTGATTGTAGGTTGCTCTTGCAAATTGGCAGGAGCACACTGAAGAAAACAGGGGTAGTACTCCAGTGTTCGAAATCTGGCTGTCCAGCTTTCCTTATTTGTGGTGTCACTAACTCAATTGTGCAGAGCATGCATGCACATACTCTACCCAAGTCATGAGTATGGCATGGGCCTAGTATGTGAAGAAAGTCATCACTTATAGCTGAAGCCTAAGGATCCCCACAAAAGGAAAGAAAAAGTAGTAAAATTGGCTATAAATCTGTTATAACAGGCAAGAGAAGCATAACAAGAGCTCAGGGATGCCCTGCATAGAACCAGTCTGTAGTTCTTACACATTGTTCAGAAGATGAGTTTCATGGCTGTCAAGCAACTCTGAACTGCTTACTTGGCCTGTAATAGTAAATTTATTTCCCTACATGGAGATGATATGTGAAGCAACCTCTTAAGTAAGAGAAAAAGAGACTGTGATTGTTTTTTTCCAGGTGCTGCAGTGTATGAATGGCTCTGGTACTGCCACAAAGTGCCTAAAATGATGGGCTTCTAACTGCCTTGGATGTAGTGAAAGATGGTGGTCACAGTGGCCTCTCCATTAATTCTGGAATAGGTAGCTGAACAGAATCTGTCATTTTAGCCCAGAGCAGATTTCATTTTTTGAATTGGTGACCAAAATATATAAATTGTATCCAGAAATTTCTGTCTATGTTGACATACCTTGGAACAGGAAATGGATTCAGGGCTGAGCTGGCTCAGGGAGATAATTATGGCCTCCGTCTTATCTGAGGAGGATAGCAGAGCCTGCAGGATAGGAGCACATGGTGCTGCATGGGGGCAGCACAAACTGAGTGCAGGTGATAACGGAAGCACTGGTCAGGGAGCACAATCAAATCATGAAGCAAATGAGATTCTGTGTCGCTTTTGTTTATAAATAAACTGCACATCTTCTGACTAAGACAGATGGGGAAGTGGGACTGATCTTTCCTATGCCTTTAGCCTTATTTCTGTTCACCTGAACTATGGCAGTATTCATGTTTGGGAAGGAAACAACAACAAACATTTCTGTGCAGATAGCTCTAGGAACGTCATAATACGTAAATGATAGATTCGCCTTGTAGATGTTGTATTATTAGAATTGTACGAGTACCATTACAGCCTTCTAAAATATTCTGCCCAGGAGGTATGGGTAAGAGCATATTAGAAAGGGAATAGGAAAAGCAGTCCATTTCCTATAACCAGCGTGGGTGGAGATTTGCAGAACACCCAGTACAAGAACAGATGTAGCTATGCCCAATGCTGGCAGCATAAATTAACTCCTCACCTAAATTCAGACAGTGTGAAGTGGCTCTTCATTGTTCTGTTGAATGCCTTTGCTTTTCACCATGGCACACATAAGACATCTAAAATGCCATGACCAAAGACGAGATGTACAAAGATGCTAGAACACAATTTTTTTTAATAAAATGGATTTTTCAAATATCTGTAACTGAAAAAATAATTTGATTTATCCATTCTTTCCCCAGGTAACTGCTCATTCCATACCCTTTCCAGTTGCATGTTTGCTCTAGGTCCAATGCTACCGCACTGCCTAAGCCTCTCGCCTGTGATGAAAATCTTTTTCATTGATGCATAGTGGAAGAAAGTGTGCGTGTTAATCAAATACGAGTTATACAATTAGTGGTTATCAGCAGAAGAATGAGTACATTCAAACTAGAGGCAGATCCTTCGGCTCATATTTTACTGTGTAGATACTGAAGTAGAATTTAGGGAACAAAAAAGCAGAGATACCATTTCATAAACTGGATAATAACTGACACTAGTGTAATCCCAATTATTTTCCCATTCCATGAAAGAGTAATACACCCACTACGGGGCATGTATCCAACTAGACCTAACACTATTTGTTATGCTCAACAGTAGTGTTCTGTCAAAGCTGTTGCCTTCCTGTCATATTACACCAATCTAGGGTGACGTGTTTTATCTTTTCAAAGCTAGAGAACCATTGTGCTAGCATGACCCCTCCCCACCCCATTGATAAAGCTGCCCTGACTTGGCCAATAGCTATCCTAAAATGTAGATGTTGTTAATGTTCAGAAAAGCAGGATGCTCTCCCTAAACTAGGTGCTTCCCCTAGCCACATCCTCTGAAGTGTACTTACTATGGTTTGCACATTTCTCCTGCACATTTAGCTCCAATTTGGTACAGCAGCCACAATCTGATTGATATGATTAGTCATAGGTCCCATAGAGAATAAAAAAGATACACTAACTGTAGCAACCGTAACAACCTGGTTTCCCTAAAACAAAACAGTGACTTTTACTGAGTGAAATAAGTTTCATATATAGTTGGCCATTCTTGGACATAACTGCAATCTTCTTTTCAAGATCAGTTCATTCGTCATAGAGGGAAAAGGATATGTTTTAATCTCTATAGCATGAGAGATAAACAGAAGTGAAGGGGCCCTTCGAATTCTATGAAATGAGTGGCTGGAGAAACAGGACTTGGCTTAGATTTAAAGATGTCTTTAAATTTTTATAAATCGATTTGAATATGATTATAGAATGTTTAAAAGATATGTTATAGGGGGCTGACCCAGTACGTCTGATGTATTTGATGATTATTTTTTTTAGTTTTTAGTTTAAAATCTTAAAAATGTGCAAAAAAAAAAAAAGGAATACTATGAAATGAGAGAAAAACCTGCTCCCTTTGTGGGGAAGAAGGCAGTGCCTTCAGGCACATTAACTACATAATGTCTAAGGAATATGATTTCCTTGGAGTGACATGTGCAATAAGGCTAAAAGTGGCAGTCCAAACCACAGGCTAAAACAGCAGCTCCTTAGCAGTTTAGCACAGAAAAGGAGGAGCTAAAAGAAGTACCACCTTCTAACCTGGTGGGTGAACTTCATATACTTTATAAAACAAAAAGGTTTTATGGAGCTATATACAAACATTTTACCAGCTATAAAGGAAACCAGGTATTAAGAGGCAAGACTGTGTTTTAGAACCACTCTTCACAGAAGCAGAGACCATGGCAATAGGAAATTTCCTCTGTGCAGTGAGACATGCAGCTCTTTAACAAGCAGAACCAAAGCTTTCTGTCTTGAGAAGAAGGTAATGTTCATGCTTTCCAAGGCCCTTTTGGATTTAAATGGGTTCCTGTGGAAGAGGTGTCATAGCTGAGCTCTCCAGAGATAAGCACAGACACAATCCCTTATGTGTTTCTCCCTTACAGGAGAAACCAGACTTCCCCATGACACCAACCTCCAGCAGATAGGAAACACTATACTTTCAGATGCAGGGAACCTGTGGGAGGAGTGGCTAAACTTAAATCCGGATAGCATAACCACCAGGAAGAACAGTGTAGCACAGTTCAACAACTTATGATGGGTGCAGGTCAATTTAAGGGCCAACATTGTCCAGAATTCTACTTCTTCAAAACTGCAGATTCTAGGCACCTAGGTTACAGGCAGGTCTACTAAAAGGGTGGAGCAATTAAAGGAGGCTGCAAATAACATCCCTGAAGTAGCTGTCTTGATTTGAGGCCAACAGTGCACAGGAAAAGAATTCCAGGTAGGTGAGATACCACAGCCAGAATACAGCCATCTGCTTTAGTCTGGCCAAGCCATGAACAAGAACTACATGCAGGAATCAGCAGCAAACCTAGGGGAGGAGATGGCTATTACCTAAGCTCTGGCACTCAACTTGGGCTTGGCTTTCTTGCCAAGTAGAAAGCACCTACACTATGGCATTATTAAGGAAAGGCTTTTGGAACAGGATGTTTCTCCATGTAACTGAGGATAACAACGGCCTCAGTCCTGTACACATCCTCACCCCTTGCTCCCTTTCCCAGAAATAGCCCATGTCCCTTACAACATGGCCAACTGAGCTTTTTAAAAACTTGTTTCCTAAACTAGGCAGAATCAGGTCCAGCACCAAAGCCTGAGTTCCCAAATGATTTGTTCTGAACACCTCTGGGTTCTTCACCTTGAACTAAGTCTCCAAACCCCAGCCAGATTGCTGCCTAATGGAAGAGAGACAACACTTCATGCTGAAAACCTCCAACTATTCATATATGTTTGGTATGGCCACTGGACTGTTGAGGAAAGGGCATATCTCACCCCACCATATGAGAAAGGTGGTATTTTGCCTGAGATTGACATTGCTGAAGACATCTGAAAAGATTCAGAAGACATCACTGGTGCTTGCCCTTGGCTCTAGCTTCACAAAGGCTGGTCAAAATGGGGACCAGGGGAGGGGGTCTTTAGATGAAACTTTCACTTACATTCCCACCCATATCCTATACCCACCTGTACCGCTCCCTTCAGTCTGCATGCTCAGAGAGCTATAAACAAGAATTATTAATATTATTTATTTCATTTCTATACCCCCCCATAGCTGCAGATCATGTCCATCCAGGGAGTCTGTAGAGAAGAGGCTAGGTGTTGCAGTACTGAGGGGGGTTAGGCTCATCACTGGCCCTCCTGACAGCTCCAACCAATCCATACTGTCCAGGTTAGCCTCTGCCAGGTCCAAACTTGGTCCCCCAGTAGGCTCAGGAGCAAAGTGCAATTCTGATGTGTCCATAGGGGAAGATGGGTGGTCCAGGATAGCTGAACTGCTTAGCATCTCACTGTAGAGGTCAATTAGAGACAGAGGCTCAGGTCCATCAGGGCCAGCTGTTAGCAAGGGGAGGCCAGTGCTGCTTTCCAAGAAGTCTTCCAGCCTACCTGCTGGGCTGGGATTTAAAGAGTTGGTGTGGCCCATGGACAACTGCAGGGGGAGCTCTGAGGAATGATGGCTGTTGGACGGAGAAGGGCATCCTAGGGAAATAGTATCTTTCCTAGCAGGGGAAGATTGCTCCTTGAACTGAGCTGAAATTTCTGCAAGACAAAAATAACCACACTTAAATGCACCGGTATTTCCAATGTTATCATAGTAAATTCCAACAGGTAGCCATCTTCAAGGCACTGCAACTACTGTACTTATCCTGGACCTACAGAAACTACCAGTACTATTGCAAGAGAGTCTACCACATTTCAATGCAAAGTAAAAATCTGTAAGGCAGTGGTTGGCAAGCTTTTCAGGGACAGGAGCTACATTAGCTCATGGGAAAGAGGTGGTGGCAACATAACGGTAGTGGGACGGACATGCTTCTTTATTTCCCCTTCATTCATCCATTATCTCTGCCACTTTACCTTCCCCCATCTCCCCCTTCACATAGCCAAACGCTGCCAGTCAGGTTGCCTTTGAAGTCCCTGCCTCTGCTCAGTGCTGTCCTCCGCGCCTTTAGCACTCTGTCTCAACCCAGATGCCAAACCACAGTGTGCAGCATGTGGAGTTTCCAAGGGTTCCTTTAAGTACCAGTCTGTGTAGTTTCGTAGAATGCACCCCTCACTCTCTCTTTCAATGGCCCTCCCCTTACATCAGCAATACCAATACAAGGGCAAGGTCAATCAATCACACAAGTGGCTGACCGCTTTCTATTATTAATCTACAGCAGCCTTCTTTGCTCTTAGGCAAAGTTGGAAATGGGATTAAATAGGTGGAGGGCAACCACCTCTACTATAAGAAAAAAGTGCCCCCCTGTAACTTTGTGCACAGGCTCACCAGTGTACCATGTTAGACTGCTAGCTTCAATGCTGAAGAAGCTAGAGGAAACAAGGCCACTTATATAAAATTTTATTCCTTACCTCCATGTTCAATTAAAATGTCAAACAGGTCATCCATTTGCTGACTTGAACAGCCATTCTCCTGAAAAGAACAGAACATGCTTGTAACTTGCACCGTGTAACTTGCATCACTGTGTGGGCAAACCATATACCCAGCATGGGACATGTCAGTTAACATGCTGACAGCTACCTCTGTACCCTTGATAGGAACAGCGGACATGTGCAGCTCTATTTTCAACAAAGGGAAAATGGCTAACTCCAAGGAGGCCATTTCAGTCCCAGGACCTTTACTTTGCTGAAATTTCAAGGCCGTTTACAAAAGAACAACACCCCAAACATGTTTCTCATTTGCCAAGTCCAAGCAGCTTCTCTCACCTCAGCAGGCTTCGGTTGTTGCTTCACAGCCTCTTCATAACCTGGTGGTTCTTTCATCAACACTGAGGAAGCAGGCAGTGTTAGAGGTGGTGGAGTACCAAGGAAGTTCTGCGGCTCAAGGTCCATTTGGGATGGAGAGGGAGGAGTTGGAGAACCTGGCTGTGAAAGCAGCTGCAAAATAAAATGAAGAAAGGTAATTAATAGCCAGTGGTGAACTATTCAGACAGCAAAAATTTAAAAATGCAGAGTGGTTACCAGTTTCAAAAAGGCTACAATTCTTTAAAAAAAATCCTTCTTGGCATCCAGGCTGTACAAAATGTTTACTTCTAAAAGGTTTTAGAGTGAAAAGCAAGTTCCTCTCCTTATTTAATTTGCAGTTTACTGCCTCTTTGCAGCTGTGGCACCAACCTTTAAGGGCAATTTTGAGGCAATCATACATTACATAAGCAGTGTGAAGACATTATGTTGCGATACAGCTAATGCGATGACATTGCAAAGCTAAATCAGACTGCAGGCAATTCTTTCTGCCATCACTCTGAAAGATCTTATGTTTTCCTTCCATTTTATAGCCCACTCCCAAACAGTAAGTGCAAAAGCAGTGCAAGTTGAGTACAGGGCAGTATTTTTCATGAAACATGGCAACATTATGTCTGAAGCAGCTGTAGCTCAGTGTGGCAGAGGGACGCAAACTGCTAGTGTTTGGCCCGTAATGACTACTGGGTTCTATCCCCCAGTGTATTGCTCTGATGCTGACTGAGTAGGCACTGCTGACAGGGTACCTTTTTTGGCACACTGGACTGGCCAGTTTTGCCGGGAACACTTGTTTTCAGGGGTCCTTTGTGGAAACCATTCAGGAAGAAGGGCTGCAAGTTGGGGGGTGCAGAAAAGGACAAGACCGTTTGAGGCAGCTGCCCTGTGACCATCTGCAGGCCTAGCTTCTGACCCTAGAGAGAGGCACAAGGGATAAAAAACAAACAAATTGCAACTTTCAGACTCTGACTGGCCCAAAGAACTTTACTCCTTGAAGGGAAAAAAAGATCCTTTTTGCTAAGCAAAGAAGCTGATAACATCATACTTCATGAACACTTCTACAGCAGCAGCAGAATTGAACATAAATCTTAAAGGCAAAGATTCTGTGCCAAATGAAACATTCCTGATGCAAAACATGAAAATTGAAAAACATGTAAAACATGAAATACTCTGCATACTGTAGTTTGGTCTTCACAGGCCAGCACCTGGCATCCTTGGCAGCTGCCTGCGCTAGGCCCTTTAATGTCTATCTCTGGCTTGGCTAACTGGGATTATTTCTCATCCTTCACAGACCATTCTGGAGCACTGTGGGAACTTTAAGGGTAGCTAGAGCCAGATACTTAGTGCTGCACAATGCCTTGACACAGCAGTCAGGTATGCCTACCAGGGTGCACTGGCAGAGGACACTGAAATGGCCCACAACAGGATTCAGACCTGGAACTGGCCTTGGGTTTTCAACTTATGTAAGATGATCAAATGGGAAAAGAAAAGCAGATGAAGAAAAGCGGGGTAGAAAAATGGAAAAGAAGCCATAATTTTTATTTCAAAAAATCAAGGCAGGATATAAATGCAGAAATATATAAAAACCTAATGAACTGGTCAACTGAAAAAACTACAGAATTACTATTGTGAAGAAAGCCAGCCAGATTTTTTTCACAGACTTATAGTTCAGAATGTCCTCTACAGTCACAAACACTAAAGGTGCAAAGAGATGCCAACTGCAAGTACCACTATGTTTCAAGTACAAGAAACATTCGCAAATTGTTGGGGAAGAGGATTTACTTTCCCTACAAGGTCTCTAAAGCAGGAGGAGGCAGGAGCTGTGTGTGTGTGTGTGCGCGCGCGCGCGCATGCGCGCACAGCAACATAAAACTCACTGCTGCATGTTCAAATGTAATATATGTCACACATGCATGCAAAAAGTCAGTGTGCCTCTCTTCGTCCGTATGCACATGTATGGCACCGCACCTGAGCTGCCACTACATTCACTAAGCCTTCAACAGACCCCAGGTGAATAGGAGCAATGTCCCCTCCTTTCTCTTCTGAAGAGTTGCAAGGCACTTGCAACACTTCACAGAACAACAGTGCCTGGGGCTCAGAATTTGAGGAAGAATGCTGGTTCTGGGCAAATCTTTTGCCTCTGAGCTAGGGACTGCATGCAGACTGGTGAAATGGGCAGGCATGGTCCAGCCATTTTCTTAGGCACACCCAATCTAACACCACGTAATTTGACATGTCATTTCATCATCATCATGTATCCTGCAAACAACAAAATATCAGCAACCAAGTTAATCCAGGATGGGAAGGGAAAGACATGATAACACAGTAACTGCTGTTTTTGAGAAATATCCTTTCAGATTCTATGTTCACTAACAGCTTTGCACCAAGAGCTTTGTGCACTCAGCATGAAATTATTTTTTTAAATTATTTTAACCATATTTAACCAAAGTAACCTAAATTCTGTGCCAAAGAAAAAGAATTCTACATAAACTCGCATGTTATGCAAATTATGCCTGTGCTTGCCTGCACTCAGGTCCACTGTGCTCAGCTCTCTCAGAAGCCCCATCTCATTACCAATAACAATACATTCTTTCAGTATGTTTATTACATCTCAGTCCTTTTACCTCCCTAAGATGGGATGCTTGTTTTACTGGATCTCACCAGCTTTCAATATCATCAGACATGGGGAATGTGACTGCGATGGGAACTGACAGCACTGACTCACAGATCCCAGAAGGGGATGCTGGGTTACTACTGTTTGATACTTTGGCTACCATTCTACAGGGCTACTCTAGGTTCAGTGCTGTCCACTATGCTATTTAACATCTATATCCATATAAAAACTTGGAGAGAAACAGCCACAGGATTTGGGGTTGGATATCGTCAATATATGATATGATGATAATCCTCCTTTTCATCTCAGGCCAAAGAAGCAGACTTTTTAAACAACTGTCTGGGTACTATCATGGACTGGATGTGCATAAACAAGCTAATGTTTAATCTAGGCAAGAGAAAGAGGCCATACTGGTGAGGAGAGCTAAACTGGATGGGGTTGAACCCATGCAGCCTGTGGACGCTTCTCTACTTAGATGCTTAGGTGGCAACTGTGGCTAGGAATGCTTTGATACTCACCTGAATCTACCAGATCTAGCCACTATCACATTCAGAGACAGTGTATAATACATACTCAACCAAGCCTCTGCAAAGCATTCTCAAACTCTAGCTGGTATAAAAGGTAGCAACCAGATTAGTTTCTGGAGTCTTTATTATTGATATTTTTCCACTTCTATAACATCTACATGGGTTTCCAGTTAGTTTCTGAGTACAATTCCAAGTGCTGCTTCTCAGCTACAAAGTCTTAGACAGTTTGGCTCAAGACACCTGAATGGTCACTTTCTTCCATATACTCCTTCCCACCATCTGAGTTCAGTCTGGAGATCCTAGCATACACCTTACTACTCTCAGAAACACTGTTGGCTGGGACACATGTACCCAGATTATGGAACTCCTTCCCTAGTAAGGTACAGATAGCTGTGTTTCTTCTATGCTTTGGGTATGCTGCAAAGACCATTTTCTTCCATGAAGCCTTTAATGCAGCTTAATTTTTTTAATCTTCCTGTTTTCAAAACTTGTTTTATTATAGAAGTGTATTTATTATTGTATATAGCATTTCATGAGTTTTAATCACTTTGTAAAAAGTTTTACATTTATTTATAAAGAAAAGCAGAGCAGAAATATCTAAGTAAAGTTATAAAGAACTAGTGTTTCATTTTACAAGAGATCTGAGGGAAATTTCATAATGAAGAAAAGAAGCCAAGATCTAAAGATGTTTTCTCAAAAGTATCCAGTTGCTGATATTGCTTGTGCACCATCATTTGTCATTTCCACTTCCTAAGGATTATTTAAAGTCAGATAACATGCATAATAATATTCTAACGCTTGAACAAAGGAGGTATGACTACCCAAAACAGCTTCCTTGCACTCAGGTCAAGCCAGACTCCTGTCAGTGATGATTTGCGAACAGCTCTATGAGAAGGACCGCTTCCACTGACAATTCCATATTCAGGAGATGATTTACAATGTATCATGATTCCTTCCTCTCCTCTGCCACCCGCCCCACAATGCAAATTGTTAGGAAACCAAACAGGTGTTCAACTACCTTCTTCATAGGTTCACTTGCTGGCTGCTGCAGAGAAGTCTGGGAGCTGCTTACAGGTTGATTAGATGCTTTTGCTTGTGGAGATGACACTCTCTGGGAAAGAAAGAGATACTTAGATATTGCCCCTGAAAAATCTGTATCATGAGAGTCAGTTGTTGAAGCCCAAGCTAGGTATGTTGGCTTGGGCAGGGGTCTGTGTGCACAAATTAAAGAAAGAAGCTCATGGGGGAGAGGAAGAGTTCTGCAGTGGGACAAACCAGTAGAGAAGGAATGTATTAATAACTGAGTATAGGGAAACAGTGATACAGGCAGCATAAAAATTGGGCTTGTAAACATAATGATGTTTCTGTGTTTTGGCAAGGAGTAGTAGTAAACGCTGTTGACTAGGGATCAACAGTGGTGGTTGCCACCATCATCTCAGAAACCATGAACTTAAATGCAATCGGCACCTTCTAGCAACAAGCAGCAGTGGAAATTTGCTCTCAAAACAAAACAAACCTGTTGACATTTTTAAAGTAGGAAATCAGGCCAGTCTCTTCTGCTAAGTCACTAATCCTGTTATGCCCCCAAGTCCTACAACAGACTGACTGAAGCCTCTGTCCATGCATGAGTGGGTGAGTGGTATACCACACTTGCTCAGTGGAAAGAAAACAGCACAATTGCTGGGATCACAAGCACTTCAGTCTATGCCTCCTGACCAGTAAACATGATAATTAGCTAGAATGCTCAATTTGTAGACACCAGCAATTGACATTTAAAAGACTGCACAATTCCATACTGTGTGAAAACATACTGTTTTAACTTGTTGCAACCATCTACCAATAGATAATACCTGCATGCAGCAATAGATTTAACTTTGATTTTGAGCAAAGAGTCAAAATGATGTTAAGAATTGGGAGGAGGTTTGCATAGAGTTAAAAAGGCACCATTCCCTGAATCATCATATGCTGTCTCTTCACCAGTCTCTATTTCCTATATTCTCAGAGAGCTGGGGAACATCTGGAGCATCTGAAGCATCCAGACCAACTCCACTTCATTCTTTTGCCATATCACTTCTAGCTACTAGTGCAAACTGACTGGTGATTCTTTCCCTAGCTAGCCCACTAACTTGACAGTGTGAAGTATGGCTAACTACAGGTGTTTTCTTAACAACTGAAAATCAATATAAGCAAATCAGACCACTGGCCCACCCAGACCAGCATGATTCACTATATTCCAACTGGCAGTGGTTGTTCTTCCACCTACCAATGCCAGGACTGAGCCTGAGACCCCCGCTGCATGCAAAGTGTGGCTACCATTTTGCTATCAACCTTCACAAGCGCTTGCCCGCCAAAGCACAAATTTGGCAGACAAGCATATTTGCCACAAGGTTCTCTACCACTTGGGTGCTCTTCTGAGAGTCCCTGGGCTCCTTTCTCAGTTCTGCTATCTCGGATTATTGCATGACATGCCACTAGCATCACCACAATTACAAGCACTACAGGGTTATCAACTATTCATTTATAAAGGAACATGGTAGAGTTCAATCTTTACCTGAAAGCCCTCCTCCAGATACACAGCCCAAAACTAACACTGCATGAATACCTACCTTCAGTGGCAATGAGCCATTCCCCACTTTTTCCAGAGCTGAGAGGTGCTGCCTCTCAGCATTCTGATTGGTCACTGTGAGCACTATGTGAGTGCCAGTGGAATCTGTGATGAGGGTAGGAGGAGGGGCTCCTTTGATGAGTTCACTGAAGCCTCCACTTTGCTGGCCATGGAAAAAACTTGAGGTCTGGCATGATGGCTCAGTTTCAGCAGCTGGCATCTCCTGCTTCACCATTACTGCTTTCTTTGGCACTGAACTTGCTTCTAAGGTGTCCATTTGGCTACTGGTCTGTGTGGGTTTTAATTGGTCAGTTTGGCAGGTGGGATGCCCTGTAGACTGGCAACTCACAAAGCCATTTTCACTCTTAACGTGGGTACTAAATGATGGTAGCTCAGAGACTTCAGCTGGGCCCTCTTCTCCAAAAGTCACGGCCGAAGGTGGCTGCTGAGACCGTTTTTCTCTCTCCAGTTGCAGCTTCAGCATCTCTACCAGCTGTTGCTTTTGTTTCAGCATGCGTGTGAGTTCCTCAATCTGCTTATCTTTCTCCTGCAACATCTGATCTTTATCCTGGACCTCCATATCTTGTCTGTTGGTGTTACTGACACAGGGGTCTGCCCTTACCATGAGATTTGTGGTACAAGTGCTGCCTTTGGAACTCTCTTCTTTCACTAGAAATTGCACTGGTGATGCTTGCAGAGTGAGCTGGGTCAGAGGAGATGTCACCATCTCCCCAAAGGCGTCCCCATTGGTTGAATTCTCATCTCCAGCACTTATCAGTGAACGCTCAGAAGGGGTAGGAGAAACAGGAGGAGTTGAGCCCGTGCTACCAAACTTCATCACACCATTACCCGTGACTGTGGCCACAACAACTTCTGCTGAAGTCATGCCTGCACTGACTAGTGCAGGCCCAGTACTTAGCCTGGTGGCTGGGAAGGCTACCACCACTTCAGCGGTCTTTGGAAGAATTGCTGTATTGGGTTTCGGAGTGCTGACTGCTCGGCCATTTGCACCATTCTGCTCTTGGTAAGCCTTCAGCCGCTCAATTAGATCTGTCTTGGTACCTGACACAGGTAGTGACCTCAACTTCAACTCTTGCTTCAGCTCTGCTACCTAACAAGAAGAATTAAAATTAAATTAGAAGCTGCAGGACAGCTTAAACGACTTCAAGTCACAACAAGAGGCCAAACTCACAGTCCTGAAAGACAATACACTCCACCTCTATCCAAGTTTCTGAAAGTGATCTGAGGTTTACCACATGCCACTGTGTTGGCAACCGTTATCCTCAGAGATCCACCCTCAAAGCAGAAAAGCATTTTCAACCATCTGCTCTCAAGACCAACACTGAGGTCATTGACTTCAGTGTAAACAGGAACAATCACTCATTTTAATAAATTCCTATTAACAAAAAAAGACTTGCTTAACAAAAAGACTCACAGTGATACATAATGTTTCTATGTATTAAAATATTATATCCCAGCTACGTTCATGAAAAATCCAAGGTGGCCAACAAATGTTTGTTTACCTTCATGTCATCGAGATTAGTAGGCAGACTTCCTGGTTTGCACACTGGAGCATTGCTGTTTTGCCGCATCAGCCCATTAGAACTGGAAGTGACAGAAGAGGAGCTGCTGGCAGCAGTGGAGAGAGTACGCATGGGTGGGCCAGTACTGCCACTCTGCTGCTCCCCTGGAGGCCTGAAGGGGGAAGAAAGTGGAATCTGATGATTCTGCAGTGAAAATGAGCATTACTGAGCAGTGCCACTGCTGCTCAGATGCTACAGTCTTGCAATTGTGTGATAAGATGGCAAACTGTCCATGTGCCTTGAGAAAACACTAAATGACTGCTTCTGACAGTGGTGCTGGGAAATTTCTTCTTGACAAGCCTCACTGTGTGCTGTTATTAACTGCCCATTTTGTTCTAATTCATTAGAAACATCAGATATCCTGGTTCACTGCCTCTATTTTGCTTGGGATTTTGTTTCTTACATAAGTTTCATAAGTTCACAGGTTGCAGAGTGAAGGAGAAACTTGCATACCAGATTTGTATCAGATGAGTATTGATAGTACGATACTAAGCAAAGCCAATTAGAAACACAACTAGAGCTGAAGACAGGGGCAGCAGGGCCTAGATTACTTTTTTCATAGCCACACTGTCAACCTCTTCTGAAATGCATGCCTAAATGTTTTAAATATACTGACACTAAGCTCTTGCTCAACTTGACAACTTTTGAACAGTCACAAATGCATCTGCCACATTCACAGAAGCTAGTTCTGACATTTGCAAACTATGCACCAACCAAAGATGATATGTTTGTGATACAGAAAAGTATAATATACAAGTGAGGTCTCTGCAGAAGAAGAAGATGGATAATGTGAAAACTCCTATATTTTGATGGTGTTCAAAAGATAGATAATTTCCATTCTGCTGAAACAAGATTCCTGAAAAGTAACACTTACTTTGGTGGAGCAGGTAAGATGGTTTGATAGTTGTAATGCTGTTGCTGTTGCTGATTGAGGATCTGGAGCTGCAAGAAGAGCTGCTGTTGCTGCAGGATTTTGGCATAAGATGAATCCATGGGAGGAGCTCCTTTGTCCTGCTTTTGGTCCGGTGGAATATACTGGTGATATTTCAGCTTCTTCACTTTTGGTTTTGGTTCCTTAGATTTTTTGCTGCGCTGGGACTTCTCACATGAGGACTTGGACTGGCTTTGCTATTAGAAGTGGGAAAAAAGATTGATCAGCGGAGAAGAAGTTATGAATAAAAACTGAAAACAAAGAGAAAGCAAAAATTAACTTTAGCTGGTGTAATCTATCTGGCTGGTTCAATCACACTGACCTTCCCCAATAAATGTATACCTCAGAGAGAGACACAGCTAGACTCCAGATTCTTCAACAATGCATGTTATTTCTATAACCATACAAAATGCAATCAGTTTGAATGGGTAGCTCTGACATCAATATTTGACTTTTACAGGGTTTTTTTAACAATAGGGCCACCTGCAAACTGCCACGTATATAATTTATGGAATAATTATGATCCTACTACCAATAGCACAGTATGTTTCAAAGTATTCAGAATTCATAGAAAAATAAAGGGACAGCAATGGCAGGGAAAACATTGACCTCTACCCACTCCAACAGTGAATGCTTAAGAGCAGAGATGAGGAATCTCCAGCCCCTGGGCCAAGAGGGTCTTACTCCTAAGCAGACATACCTGAAACTGAGCTGCAGCTTGTATACTTGATGGGAGAATGTCTTAATTGCTAAGAATTAGATCTGGCCATGGCCACTTTGCTCTGGCTCTGCCTACTCTGCCTTAGCCCTGCCCCGTGTGTCTTTAGTTCTGTCCACTGCTGGAATGCAAGACCCTTGTCATACTGCAATTTGCCCCCACTACCAGACTGCAAAAGGCTTTCCATCCTGGATTAAGAGGTATATACTTAGGAGCAAGTGTGGGGAACTTGCAGCTTTCCAGATGTTTGGGCGTATAACTGCACCATTCTCTAGGCTTGCTGGGACTGATATGTGAGTTGTAAGTCAAAATTCTGGACAGCAGGATGTTGCCAATACCTGCTTAGAAGAAGAATCTTACACTAAAGCTCCAATGTCAGCTAAACAGCTACATGATACTAGGTGCAATGGCAGCAGACAGGATACTCACATGCCTTCGCATAAACCCCATCTTAACTGTTTTTCAACTGAAGCCAGGATTTAAGGAGAGCTACAGCTTGATAGCTATTGGTGATCAAGACTAGGCTACTCAATATTTCCCACCCAGTCTTAAAATATACCCATAACAGAATGGATTATGTTACTACTATTTTGAATCCCAGTTTTAAAAGTACCTTTATTAGGGTTGGAAGTGGTTTGGCAACAGGAGTAGCAATTCCATTGGTGAGACTGGGAGGCACCGAAGGTGGCAGCAGTTGCAAGGAAGGTGGGGTCTGCTCAGGCAGAAAAGGCATCTCACTGGAATCTGCACTAACCCTTAACTGACACACAACCTGAAAAAGTAAACACGAGATACACAAGGCCATTAGTACATAGGTACTTCTAACTATCTGCTTTTCAGCCTGATAGAAGCTACACACGTAGTAACATAGAGAAACATAGTACTGAGTAAATCAAATTTCCAGGATCAACCTTACAACAAAATAAGGCCAGAGCTTACTTTCTCCCACAAACAGATTTCAATAAAAGTTCTTATCCATTTAATTTTTTTCACCAAGTAAAACAATACTAGCACTAACTAGCTAGTAAATTTAACTGGCATGATTTCAAGATTCAGCTACCTAGTGCTTCTCCTGTTAATCACAACGAATTCCGTTGGAATTCACAACTCACAGGTTTTCTCCCTCTTGAGGAAAGTGGTCTATCTTGCCTATGCACAGTGCAACAATTCCGTTCAACAAAAGCCAATATGCTCACCTGAGCAGGGGATGCCACAGGAGGGGTAGGGAGTGCCTCCCCAACTCGAGCTTCCATTGGGGATGGGACAGATCCCTGGGATTCATGGCTGGCTGGCTGTTCCGGGGACAGAGCATCACTGCTGTCCTCATCAAAGGAGGAATTATCTGCTACCTTTGGGTAGTTCACTTGACCTACTGAAAACAGATGCAAGTTCATTCACTAAACAGTACATGGTATGGGTCAATGATAACTGATGGGAGATCTTAGTTTCTTGACTAAGAAGATATTTGAGATTGTAAAAAGCAGAAAAACTTTAGATAACCCCTTTGCAAAATACTTTTATTATCACCACCACCAATTGACAAGGAATGAGTAAGAAGAACTAAAAGGAATGTCCTTCCTGTACAAGGACAACTACAGTTAGCCTTGTGGTGTGTTTGGTCTTAAGCCTGATTAAACAGGGGGTGGGGGAGAGCCCTGGAGTTATTTTAACAGCTTTCTCCAAAGGGAAAGCACTGCAACAGATGATAGATGTCAATATCGCTTATATATTTTGGAATCCAAAACAGAATGTACAACTTTATAAGTTTAAAGAAAAGATCCCTTCAAAACTATCAGTAAGAAGCCAGCTTTCCAGAACGTTCCTTATGTTGACTATGACAGCTCAAAAGGAACAATAATTCTGTGAGATCTGACTGCTAATTACTGGTAATTTCTATCTAGGATCTATATCCTACCCAAAAATATTTCTACATTTCTTCACAAGAGCCTTCATGTGAAAAGGGGGAGCAGGGTAAAAAGACCCTTATTCTGTCAAACAAAGAACTGTTCAATCTTGAGACGAAAGTAGCAGAAGCTAAAGCAAGTATCTCGAGTTCCTTTATGCTAGGTTCATTTGTGCAATCCCCACAATTTAGGCTTTCTCATTGTGATTTCTCAGTCTTCCTTCATGACCAGGGGATGACACTTGCATACCATACATCTGCTCTGGGATCAATCTTTTATTCTTGTGCACATTAACTCCCTTCCATTCATCTTCTCCCCCAATCCACAATTAGTGTAGGATCCCTCAAATTAATTGCTGCAACAATTAGAAGGACAACCATCCTACATGAGCTTTTCAACCCTGAGGATCAGTTATGTTCCTGCTAATCCACTGTGGTCTGCTACAAGCCTGTCTGGGAAATAGAGTTGTGTACCTTAAAGTTTTAACTAAAGCAGCTATATAAAGTAAAAACTAAACTTTATTCTCCATAGTCAAAAAAAAAATACATAATGGAGGTGCTAGCAAGCTGTCATTCTATCAAACACAGAGACCTCCATTGGTACAAGCTTTACCGATGATGGCTTCCTTCAGACTAGATTCCACTGGCAAAATGTTCTTCTCTACCAACTCCATGGGACCTGGCCGCTGAGCAATCTTCTCATTGAGATCATCAGCAAGCCTGGCCCGCTTCAACTTCAGCTGTTTGGCCTGAAGGGAAGGTTCAGCAGAAGTCTCTGTTTGGAGTAACAACAAAAATTTTATCACTTCTTAGTTGTATAGCCTGCATAAAAACTGGAGAAAGCTTACCTTCCCCCAATAAATGAATGCCTTCTATCAAAACAGTTTTCAAAATATTTTAAACATAGAGTAAATTTCTCGTTCTTCTACCACCAGGACCCTCACCTTCCAAAATGTGCATCCTCACCAACTCTGATCTCTCTGGTCGAGACCGGATCTTCCGCTTTAAGTAGTCCTCTGTCTACAAATAGAAATTGAACCCAAAGTAAAGTTGCAGGACTGAGGAGGCAGCATACAGGATTTTCTTGTTAAACTATCTTAGATCCTTCAGTACATGGTAGATGCTAACTTTTCCTCAGATTCTTACTGGTCCTGCTGTTAAGAGAATGCAACAGACAAAGGACTGTGTCACCTGTTGCCTAAGCAGAGCCAGTGCGGTGTAGTGGTTAAAAGCACAGGACAAGGACTCAGGCAACCTGGATTCTAGTCCCCACTCAGACATGGAGCCTACTGGATGACGTTGGACCAATCACAGACTCTCTACCCAACCTACCTCACAGAGTTGTTGTGGGATAAGATTGAGAGCAACAGCAGAAGTATGCAAGCTGCTTTGAGTTCTTTAAAAAAGGTGGGATACAAGTCTAATAAAGAAATAAATAAGCAAGCAAGCAAGCAAGCAAGCCAGCCAGCCAGCCAGCAAGCCAGCCAGCAGGCTGATTTCATAGTATTTCACTAGGGCATGAGAACCATGAGGAAAATGGGTGACAAAATGGGTAACACACCAAGTGCTTTCCTAAAATACATATTCTAAGTGGCTATTCTTATGTTAATTATGAAAGATGAATGAGAGGAAGAGAAGGCATTTGTTGACAGAAAAACCTAGGAAAAGTCATTCATATCTTGGAACATTTGTCTCCAGCTGATTCTAGTTCATCTGGGTGCTAATTCAAACACTTTTGAATTAAATTATTACTGTTGTTATTGTTATTATTATACAAACCATAATAATTTGAGTTTTAAAACAAGACAACATAGCATCCAGTACATCCATTTCTCATCCAACTCACCAGAAGCCATTTCAGGAAGGAAATATAACCTCCCAAAACTGCAGCTGAAGATACAAGTTACATTCAGCCATTTATCTCAAAAAATCCTAAGTTTTTCACTTAGTTTCTGTGTATTCAAGCCTTTGGTAAATGAAGTAGCAGTAGGCAGTGGAGTGCCTATGGATATGTGAAATGTTAAAGCTTTTTATCATGGGTTTTGGGTCTCAGGAACTAATTCTGTTAATGATGCAACTATTCACACTGCATTATAGCTGGTATGTGGAATGGAAGCACCCAAGATCTCCAAGTTAAAATAAGTGTTTGGAGGAATTTCAGACTGGACTTGAAATAACAGACATAATAATTCTCTAAAAGCTAGCTGGTGGCTTACCCTGGCCCGTTCCAAACTTCTTCTCTGTTCATGAAATGCAGCTGGACTTTTCAGTGCTATTAGGAAGATAACAGTAAGTAAATTGTGAGAGTTGGTTTCTCATGTTTATAAACAAGACCATGTCACTAAGAGTCGCCAAAGTCAAGGTAAGACAACTTCTTCCTGTACATGCTCAGCCTATGGACAAGAACTTCTATTAATTTAATCCACATCCTGGTACTTTGCCAGGTACAGCTGAAAGTATAGACCATTTTCATAGACTGCTTAAGGCACACTGTGTTTAAACTGATGTTTCATTGCCTAAATTAATGCTACCTTCCTCCGCTAGGGCACATAGAAGAGACAGAGTCTGATGAAGAGCTAACAAAACACTTCAGGAGGGAAGTCTTTGTGCACCTGAACATTTTAGCACCAGAAACTGAACAGCATACAGAATACAAAAACTATAGTAAAATATGTCTACACTGACATCAGAACATACTGCATGTATTAGGAATTGATACTTTACAGCAGACATTCAAACAAGAAACAGGGGAACAGGCTGAGAATATTTGTTTACCAATATATAGGTAGCAGAAAAATCTAAGGAGTCATTTAAATAATGAGACCTTCCATCTTTTCCCACCACTGGGGCATTGCCAAGACAGATCCTATTTTAAGGCACTCATCACCTTCTGCCTAATACTGTACAAGCCTTGAAAGAATCCTTTGGCAGAGCTTTTCCTGACAGATTCCACTAAGTTCATATTGCTGAAGACTAACAGGACCACTCTCGGCCCACAGATTCTTTCTCAGTGTATTATATTAGAGTGCTGGTAAAACTCACCTCTGTCTTGTATGCAGAAGTGTATTTATCTTTCTGGGGAGAAGGGGAATCCGGAAAAGAGGAAGGTATACTGTGCAAACATGTCATGCTAACATAGCCAATATTTATTATCACTGATTGAAAAGATGGCCAGCACTTACATCAATGCCATGAACACTTAATATGGTTTGCATATTTGTCATATATAAGCTGTAGTAGCTAAAACAATCTTCATAGAATATATGCAGTTAGAGCAGTAATCATACACAGATACTTTTTGTTTGTACAAAAGCTGCTTTGATTTAGCATGGATCAAAATGCAAAAAGAAGGGAACAACAGACTACTAATCAAAACTGGAGATATTTTGCATATAGTTCAATCACTGTATACATTGATAAATTGACCCCACAGTTTTCCCACTGATCCTTTTAGCACAAGACAAACATGCCCAATAATGGAATCAATTCCATTTCAGTGCAATCTGCCTTATTACTGATTACCAGCAAAAGTTTTGGGTTTATATCTTCTCAGCATCCCTGCTGAAACCTCCATTCCAGGGAAATAAACTTCATCTTATTTCTGAGAAGATCATATCTTGTGTACTGTAAATAGTTTAGTATTAAAGGAAGTATTTTTAGGAGTGTTCAAAATGTAAAGATGGTTTAACTTCTCTTTCTTAATTCAATGCTATTTGCAGAGTAGGAGAGCTGACTTGCAAATGTGAATGATGAATTGTAAAGGAACAGACTTCTTTGACAAACGAAAAGGCAATGAAATCACATTTCCATTATGCTTTTTGAAAACTACAGGTTAGATCCAGATTTAAGTTGGATCAAACTGCTCTAGTGGAAGTGAACTTCCCAGTTCCTTCTTTCTAAGAGCTGCCCTCTCAACCTCCTGAAAAAGGCTACACAAGACTCTGCTGAATGGGATAAACTGGTGTGGGAGGAGGGGAACATCCCCACCAAACTGGGCAGAGAACTTTCCCTTTTGTGAAATATCTCATCTTTTCATGGATAGCAGATCCTGGATCAGCCTTACAATTTTACTATTTAGGCATAGCATGAGGAGAATGATAGTATATGCTTTATTATGTCCTTTCCTAGCTATTTTCAAGTTTACAAACTAGTATTTGTTTGTATTGACTAGCAGTTCATTATAGTATATATCACATATGACTTTGTGAGATTTTCAAACAGCTTTGTAATTGTTCTGAATGTTGTGTAAAGCTAGGTGGATATGAGCTCCTATTGAAATCTATAAAATGTCTCCACTATGGATATTTCCTCTTATTTTCCTTGATGGATTTTTTGCATTTAAAATGGAACTAATACCATGAAAACATGGAAGGCATACAGTTTTTAAAAAATCATCTGTAACCCATAAACTTCCATAAATAAGGCAGAGCAACAGTATCATAAAAATACATCTGGAAGTCCTTTCCTATGCAGACTAGTTGGCCATAAGTGGTAAAAAAAACCAAAAACAGAGGAACTAGCAATACCTGCTCAATTCATAGTACAGCAGACATAGATTTATATTTATCTTAAGCAAATGGATCCTGACATTATAGCCTGCTTACTATCCCAAGCAGTAAAATAGAATAACTAACTAGTATATTATCTTTTGCTAAATACCCAAGGGAAATTCTTCCATAGTCTCATAGGATTTGTATGTGTGTGGAAAAAACTTTGGCTTGTACTTCTCCCAGTGTTGGCATGAAGACAAAGAAAATAATTTCATACTTGACCTCTGAGAATGCCAAAAGGGAACAAGTCCCTCTCTACTTCCCCCACAACATTCTCTTGGAAGGAACTGATATCTGAAAAACATCACTGGTGCAGTATGTATTATCAGACTCCATCCAAACTAACTAAACAGTGTACATTTTTCTTGGCTGCATAAAAAGTACATAACAAATGACCCAGAACTGTCAAACAACTGTACCATGTAACTTATGAGACCAAAGGACCTTTTTCCAGCATGTCCTTAAGATGCTGTCTAGCTCCAAGTAGCCAAGTTTATAAACTGTAATAACCCATCCTCAGCTACTCTAGAGAAATGGTTTGTCTTTTTCAACTTTCATCTAAAAAAACCCCTTTCTAATCCTCATTAGGATTATGAAGAATATAAAAACTTATTGGAAGCTGTTACTTAAAAAACAGAGTAGTATCCAGATATATTCCACTAGGTCCTTCATAAGACCACTCCCTATGATTTTCTTAGGGTGAAATCCTATGCAAGTTTAGACAGGCAACAGGCTGATAACCAGCATGCTCTGGCAACAGAGCTGGCTGGCACACACTGGGAGCTATAGGTCTCTAAACTTAACCCTAACCCTAAACTTGTATAGGATTTTAACTTTACAGACTTAATCCAGCTAACTCTGATTCCATGTCTCACTTTCCAGCATTGGAAGAGTGGGAAGGAAAATACGCACAAAAAGAGAAGGAAGAGAATGCACAAAAACTTACATAAAACAAGAAAGGAAAAACTATGCAATACTGCATATTAGGTAAAATATATTTAAAATGTGCTAATATACCTAGTCATTTAATCTTCCTGTCAAAAAGGAAGCAAGAAAGCACTCATCCAATCTATCTGGACCTTCACGATACAAAACACATGAAGAGGAAAGGGGCAGAACTGCAGTCCTCAATTCATGTTCCAGCCATGCCTTGCTTCCCTGCAAAATTGTTGCAATTCTGAAAACAGCAGCCATTTCCTCCAGCAGCAGGTGAGGAGTATGCAACCCCCCATACAACCCCCTAATCCCCAGAAATTAACCACTCCTGTCCTAGATTCTATGTTGCAAAATGCATGTGTCTAGTCCTAGATAAACTGCATCAAGGACATCAAGAATCCCACCCCAATTTTCATGCAACAGCAAGCTGACATGCAAAGGTAGGTATAGCCCAAGCATACACCATAGATCTTGCCAATGCTCTGAAACATTCCAATATCCTAAACACAAATGTATTAGTGAATTGATAAGGAAATACATTCAGACAGACTTGCTGTTTGAGCAGCATATGTAGAGGGCCTACTAAACACTATTTACTCTAAATATTAGAAATGCAAGATGAAAAATATTTCAAAATGTCTCACACCACTTATCTTAAAATATTACCCAAAGTAACTTACACCATAAAAAAGTTTAACTAACAAAACTCATAGTAGTTAATAAAATACAACATGCTAGGACAATGAACATCAAGTAAAGTAATAACTACAGCAACAATATACTGCAATGATCAGAATGTTGGATTGGGACTTCAGAGATCCAGGTTCTAAAATCTACTCAGACATGAGGCTTGTTGTGTGACTTTAAGTTAGTCACTGATGTCCAGCCTAATCAACTCAGAGGGTTCATGTACTATATATGAAATTGGCATATTTCCCTGCCCAGGCCACCTTGTTTTGCCCTGCCAAACTGCCTGTTTTTTTTTTTAAAAAAGCCCTGCTTCTCGCAGCTATCAAAAGCAACTGTCAGAGAAAAGGAAGGGAATCGTTTCCACATTCTCAAGTAAGCCTCAGGAATGGGTAGAAGATTTAGAGGCACTGCAACTTGAGGCAGAGATCCCTATGGCATTTGCAACACAATCCTTTAATGCTCACTCCTTTAATGTCTGCTATTACTTTCTTCAGCAGTATAGATCAATACCTACCCTCATACCTGTCAAAATACCACTTGTCAATTTCACCATCTCCCTGTATTCTGCCTTTACCTGACAGAACAGTGTCAGTTTCTTTCCCCAACTCATTGCGTTCTTGCTAATGAACTGTGAAAAGGGTGGCTGAACAGGACAAATTTTTGAGGCAAACGGATCTAACTACTGCTAGAGTGTAGCTGCACTTTCTGTGGGAGGATGGCTGTACATACTGTGAAATGGGTACCTTCCACTTTTCAGAAGTGTACACTTACAAACAGAAAAATAAAATAAAAACCAATTTTGTAGCAAGAACACTCACAGGAATACCTGTCCACCTCAATAACTCTGTCCTATTCAGCAAACTTTATTTATTTATTTTCGATTTATATCCTGCCTTTTTCCTACAAAGGGCTCAAGGCAGCTTATATCTCCTCCTCCATCTTATCTCCACAACAACAACCCTGTGAGGCAGGTTGGGCTGAGAGTCTGTGACTGGCCCAAAGTCACCCAGTTGGTTCCATGGCTGAGCAGGGACTAGAACCAGATTGTCTGAGTCCCAGTCCCATGCTCTTAACCACTACACCACACTGGCTCTCA